TTCCTGCTTCAGCCACGTGTTGGTGGCCACACAGCCACTCAGGCTGAGTCTAGATTCCAACCCAGGTGCCCTGGTTCCACTGTCCTGTGCCTGGTCTGGAACTCTCAAGCGGTACATCTCATACTCATGAGTCACCTAAAGGGGTGAGTGGGAAAAGCAGCTAAGCATTTGAAGGGTATTGAAAAACCTCTTTCATGTAGACGTTTTAATTCTCTGGTTTTGTAAACAATCATGGGATTGATATTTTGCCAAGTGCCCCCTTCCTTTCTGTTCTAAAATACAGAGGGGATGGGGCTGTTGAATCTGCCTGGTAATTGCATTAGCAGGATTCTCCAGAGAAAAGGAAGAGAGAGAAAGAGAGAGGGAGAGAGAGACGGAGAGGGAGGGAGAGAACTTGCTCGATTTTAAGGAATTGACTCAGGCAGTTGTGAGGACTGGCAAGTTCAAAATGTAGTGCAAGCTGGCAGGCTGGCACCTCAGGCAAGGGGTCTACATTACAGTTTTGAGCCTGAATTCCTCCTTCCTCGGGAAACCTCAGTCTTTGGTCTTAAGACCTTCAACCGATTGGAGGAGGCCCACCCACATTCCGGAGGGTAGTGGATTTAATCAAAGCCTACTGATGTAAATGCTAATCTCATCTAAAAACTACCTTCACTACAACATCTAGACTGGTGTTTGACCAAATATTCAGGTCCTGTGGCTTAGCCAAGTTGACACGTGAAATTAACTATCCCAGTAACATTTGGGGGTTTTGCATAAACCTCGTGGGGAAGGAGTTTCTTCAACCCTACACATGACACGAGGACACTTTTCTGCATGGACACGCGTCCTCACCTGTCAGGCAGTGTGAAGATGGGAGCCGCTGCCCCCTTGGGGGCCAGTGTTCTTCCGTGTGCCTTGCAGGCACGTGCCATGGCCTCAGGGAGCTGAGGGGGAGCCCGGGCAGTGTGGTGCCCTTGCCTGTTGGGAAAGTGGGGTGGGGCCCCAAGACCACTTGGTGTTTGCAGATGAAATAAGCTGCACTTGTCCCGGGAGAACAGTCTTCCTCGTGTCATGACTCATGAGCACGCCGCTCCCAACGCCCTGCTCTGGATGTCATAACACGCAGGGTAATAATAATCCCCTTGGCCGCCATCTGGAGCAGAACCTCAGAGCATCCTCCACACATGTCTCCTGGGAGTCCTGGTTCCCTCAGGGAGCCCAAAGGGAAGAATCACATGTCACAGGACCGGGCGGCGGCTTTGTTCCTCTTCCCCTTCTCCTCTGACTTCCGTTCTTAAACATATTAAACTTGCCCTTATATTTAGTGGTGTATTTTTAAAACTTGAAATGGGATGTGGTTATTTAAAGATACATGTGGCTTTTTAGTAATACCAAGTAGAGTCTGTCAACATGTGTGCAGATGCTTACATGGTCCTAGGTAGAAAATATGCTGCCTAGTGTCTCCCAGGGAGCAGTAGCTGAGGGTGGGAGAAAGGACCCATGAGATCCCCACTCGTTGACTGTCACTGTAGGAATTTACAGGGCATTTCTGGGCCTCGGTGTTTACTTTCACTAATAATGTCTTAGATGCTCGTGAGTTCAGCTGCAGTTGAGGTCACAGACTAGACCTGGGACAAGTTACTGACCACGTCCTCTTGCTGACCATGATCTTCTGTCGTGTGTAAGAGCATTAGATGAGAGACATGCAGTAGGAAGCATGATGGAGTTATGCTCTCATGGAGTAGTAAGCATGATTGTTTCTTTCTATCCATGGAGATTCCAACACTTTTCCTTAAGCCAAAAGGGTGACGTGTCTCCTGTTGAAGTTCCTCTTTCCCCTCTGCTGTTCTCTGCTTAACCTTCATTCATGTCCATTTGGAGCATTTAGCTTGGTAAAGCCAATGCCCAGCCTCTAAGGAGCCTTAAAAAGCCTGAAGAAATGTGTGTTCCATTCCTGGATGCCTGCATTTAGTAGGCAGTCCCCAGGGGTAGAGCCCTGAAGCTCTGTCAAAGCTCTCTCATCGAACTTGGGAGATAAAATTGCTTTTAGAGGGGTTGCTTCCTCAGATCATTAGGTGACATTGTGTGAAACAAAAAAGGCATCTTAACATCTGGCAAGAATTTACATTCTAAGAGGTGAAAATGACAATTCTCTGAATGCGAAATTTCTAGTCTTAATCTTTCGGAGCTTGTAATTGCTTCACCACTAGTTTGCATAATAGAAGAATCTCATGAGTGTAGGTGAAATTGGGTGTCTTCTCCGGAGTGGCAAGCCTGATCCTCTTTGTTGAGAGCAAGCAGGCCCCGTTGCATAAAATGGCAGCAGATTGAAATCATGTCAGGTTGATAATTAGCTCCCATCTGACAAAATGCCATTTGGATGACAGCAAATCAGATTTGCCAGGTGCTTTATTTTCAAACCTCATTTTTAGTTTATCACGCTAGGGAGTTCTGATGGGATTTTAGTATTAGATAATAAAATGTCAGCAGTGAGTAAGCACTGAAATGTTATCTTTCAGTGACAGTGTTAAGTGATAGGCCACATGTACTCTAAAAATATTACAAATTAAAATCTCCTAAGGACTGGAGAAAGAGAGAACTTGGAGTCCAACAAACACTGTGGGAAGCAGGGCCACAGGGCCTGGAGTCGCCTGGGACCTGCTGTTGCCCCTGAAAGTAGAAGATGATGTCTCATACGTTCTCAGAGAAGTGGTGGCATCTGGAGATGCCATTTGGGTACTGACCAGTCCTGGAAGGAATCTCTGGTAAGAAGGGAAGTGGTTTGCCTGAGTTCACTGGTCTTGGCCCCTGCCTGATACACTTGAGTTATTACTCTAACCTTGTTTGTTGAATTGAATGAACCTTGCCATTACAGAGTGTGCCTTAAGTTACTATTTAAGGAGTTTGTAGTATAAGGCATTAGAGGATTTTTACATGGAAATACAAATAACAGTTTTCTTTTTTTTTTCCACGAATAACTTTTGATGCTTATCAGTTGTCATAGGGTAGACCTGAGACAAGTTGCTGTCCATGTATCTCTGCTGATTGTTCTCCATCATAGGGCTGGCAACTCAATTAGACCATCCAGACTATAAAAGAAAGGATGTTTAGGCTTTTTCCAAATGAGTTTTTTTAAAGGAAATTATATTTATAAGAATCTCAGGTACTGTTTTTTCTATTTTTGACATCCTTCCATATGGCTGCATTTCTGGTCGGGATGGCCTAAAAGACACAGTTGGCATTGCTTCCTTCTGTTAGACTCAGACTTAGCAATATCAAACTCTGATAGTGTCTGCTGGAAACAGAATCTAAGATAAGACTTAATGGTCAGGATTTAAATAGCAAGTTAACAGCAGTAAAGAAAAATGTACACCTACGATGGTATGAAAACATTTAGCTCGATAATGAATACCTAATTGCATTTAGATTCCTGGATAAGTACAGCGGATAATTTTCATGTTTTATTAACTAGGAAACCTTACCAGGTTTACTAAGATGAAGTTCTTGGGTTGAACATGCTCTAGGAGTGTCCCGATCTGTATATCATATTATTCTTGAGTATCATTGCTTTTATAGAATATATTGCCTCCTTTCTCCGCATCCTAACCCTATTATCATGCCCTTCCTCTGTTATATTTTGAAATACGATAACTGCCCTCCCCATTGGGAACCCGGATAGAAGCCGGTCTCCCTCGCTGCGGCAGTGGCAACTCTTCATAATCTATACTTC